GGAGTCCAGCGACATAACCGCCATGCCATCTGCTGGCCCCTATTCTTGTCCATTGCAAATAAGTTCCACAAAGACAAAGGTTTTGTCTGTTTTATTAAGAGCAATATCACCAGCCCCTAGGACCTTGTCTGGCATAAGATAGGTATTTAATACAGGTTGGATATCAGACAACCGTGCCTCTCCCAGGAAGACTGCCAGTAACGTACAGCTTTTTGTCCAGTGTTTTTATTTACTGTGCCAGCTAAATGGAAGGAATTATCTTCCATTTGCAATTTGTTTTTCCTTTCTGTGAACTTTTAAAATTTCAGGCCTGCCGAGGCGCCCAGACAGCTGCAGCCACAGCTCCCCGAATCAAGAAATTTGCCATCTACCGGTGGGACCCAGACAAGGCTGGAGATAAACCTCGTATGCAGACCTATGAAATTGATCTGAATAAGTGAGTATGTATGAAAGCCAGGTATTTGATAAAGGAAGTAGAACTTTTGACTTGGTACAGGGATATGCTTCAAAGGCTTGAAAAATCTGAGAACATCCAGTTTTTCTAGAAATTATCTGGTATTAAAACAAGAATGAGGCAGGTACCTGATTAGAAAGCTAACGTTAAAGGACCAGTCGCTGGACTCCCATGTAGTCGACTTCGATTCAAGTCTGAGACCTGGTGACTTAAAACTAATTCCAGGTGCATGCCCAAATTCCCTAGAGGCAAATGGAGGAGAAGGGGTTGCAGTGTGGCCATCCCCCCAGAGTGACTTCTCACTTTCTGTCTCTCTGTCTCTCCAGTGAGCGCACATGCCCTATAGCAAAAACCTCTCTTTAAAAAAAAAAAAGAAAGAAAGAAAGCTCACATCAAGAAAAATGACTTTGGGGGACCAGCAGTTAGCGTAATGGCTATGTGACTGGACTCCCATGTAGTTGACCGCAGTTCAAGTCCCAGACCCGGTGGCTTAAACTCACGCCAGGCGCGTGTGCGTGCGTGCCCGAGAGGAGAATGGAGGAGAAGGGATTGCGGCGTGGCCATCCCCCCTGGGGGGTGATTTCTCACTTTCTGTCTCTCTTGTCTGTCTGGGGCGTGACCATCTCCCCTGGGGGGTGATTTCTCGCTTTCTGTCTCTCTATCTCTCTGTCTCTCTCTCTGTCTGGCGACCGCATGTGCCCTATAACGAAAACCTCTCCCAAAAAAAAGAAAGAAAGAAAAATGACTTTGGGAGTTAGCAGGTGGCATAGTGGTTAAGGCACTAGACTCTCATGGTTTGAGTCCTGGACCCAGCAGCTTGAAACTCATGCTGGGCGTGTGTGTGCGTGCATGAGTACCCAAGATCCCTAGAGGAGAATGGACAAGAAGGGGCTGTGGTGTGGTCATGCCCTGTCGGGGTGATTTCTCACTTTCTGTCTCTCCGATTCTCTAGCAAGTGTACATGTCCTATAGCAAAAATCTCTCAAAAAAGAAAAAGAAAACTTTGTAAAATTCCTTTCCTTCCTCTAATGAAAATAGAGGAATATAAATATAAAATATAGAAATGTAAAATTTGACTTTATGTACAGCATTTAAATTCATTTAGCATATTACCAATTTAAAAATGCTAAATGTTTTTATTTCATTTTATATTTCTAGGCCTGTGTATCCTCTAATAATGATAAACTCCAGAAATTTGGCTTGACTGATGGTAGGATAAGGTGGGGATGAGGTTAAAATAGTAAATGTGATCTGGACTTATGTGTAAGTTTTCTGTTTACCACAATCTTAATGGCTTAAAACAGCATAAACCTATCTTATGATTCCATAGGTCAGCAAACTGGTACCAGACTTGTCAGCCTAAAATCAAGGCATCAACAGGCCACATTCCTTTCTAGGCCCCACGGGAATATCTTTTCAGTTCGTTTGCACTATTAGAGGAATTCAGTCTCTCCTCAGATATTAGAAGACCAAGGTCCCTGTTTCCTTGCTGGCTATAAGATAAGAGCCATGGGGCCTGCAGATGGTTTGGTGGTGAAGGTTCCTGGACTTCCACATGGTTGACCACAGTTCAAGTCCCAGACCTGGCAACTTCCTTTCTCACTTTCTTTCTCTCTCTCTGTCTCTCTCTCGCCAACTTCAAAAAAATAAAATAATGACGATGAATAAAATTAAATACAGTAATTTTTTTTTTTTTAAATAAATAAGGTAAGGGAACCAGCAGTTAGCGTAATGGCTATGTCACTGGACTCCCACGTAGTTGACCGCGGTTCGCGTCCCAGACCCAGTGGCTTAAAACTCACACCGGGCGTGTGTGCGTGCGTGCCCAAGATCCCGAGAGGAGAAGGGAGGAGAAGGGATTGCGGCATGACCATCCCCCCTGGGGGGTGATTTCTCTCTTTCTGTCTCTCTCTCTGTCTGTCTGGCAAGCACACGCGCCCTATAGCGAAAACCTCTCCAAAAAAAAAAAAAAGAAAGAAAGAAAAATCACGCCCAACACAAGGCCAGAAGGTTGCTTGGTGGTTCAGATGCTGGACTCCCACATACCCGATCATGGTTCAAGTCCCAAACCCAGTGACTTGAAAATCACGCCCAAAATCCTAGGAGGAGAATGTAGGAGGAAAAGAGACTGCAGCATGGCCATCCCTCCAGGGGGGACTTTCTCACTTTCCCTCTGTCTGTCTCTCCCTGTCTCTCTTTGGTGAGTGTTCACACCCTATGGCAAAATCTTAGAAAAAAGGTAAGAACCAGATCTGGGACTCAACCGAGTTAGCTATGTGGGATCCAGCACCTTAACTACCACACCACCTGCTGGTCCCCCATAACTATTTTTAATGATAAAAATATTTCAGAAATGATTGCGTTCACTTCCGGTAATGGCAGAGTAGCCCTCATCAGAGTTCCCCTCAGACAGATGTTTAGCAACTGGACAAAGTAGAAGGAATAACTGCGGACCAGCAGTGTAAGGACTGAGACCAGGAGGGAAGACCACAGTCTCGCCAGCTCAGATAACAAGAAGAGCATGACGATTCTAGTCAGACTAGCGTTTATGCAGCAGATGCCGCTCAAAGTGCCTCGCGTTAACATTCCTCCAGCAGTCCTGTCGGGTATTTCTGCTCTGTTGATGACATACTTAGGCAGAGATGACGTTGTTTGCCTGTCAGCTGGTGAGCGGCTGAGCTGGGGCTCTGACCAGGCTCTCAGGCCCTTGAATGGCAAGCCTGCCCCAAGCTCAGCCATTCTTAGCATCACAGCACTGCCCCCATGGGTCCCAGGATGCCCACGGTGACTTGGATGTAACTGTGGGTGGTTTGTTTCTTTCGGTCTTTAGGTACCACATTTCTGTTAAAGCCTTATATTCATTGCTAACTAACCATTTAAAGCTATTTATTGTATGGGACCAGCAATTGGCGTAATGGCTATGTTGCGGACTCCCATGTAGTTGACCATGGATCGATTCCTGGACCCGGTGGCTTAAACTCACACCAGGTGCGTGTGCATGTGTGCCCAAGATCCCGAGAGAATGGAGGAGAAGGGATTGGGGTGTGGCCATCCCCCCAGGGGGGGATTTATCGCCTTCTGTCTCTCTTTCTGGCAAGCGCATGCACCCTATAGCAAAAACGTCTCTTAAAAATAAATAAATAAATAAATAAAGCTATTGCTTGTCTAGATCCCAAATAGTAAAACTAGAATTTTAAATAAATTATTGGGGAAAACTTTGTATTTAGTTTTAGAAGAACAAACAGAAACTGCCCGTGTAGAAATTACTTCCTAACCCCACACTTCACTACTACTTCTCTAGCTTTTCATTTCCTAGAAATGTTTATATATTGTGATCATCAGAATAGAACTATGCCATACCTAAAATTTGTAAAAATGTTTAAAAATAAGACTATAGAAAAAATTCAGAGTGACCTTAGAAGCCAGATGGGTAAGAAAAGCAGTGGATACAGTCAGTGTCTCCAACCACCTTACAGTAAAGCCTAGGGAGGTGGCATGGCGGTAGGGGCTCTGGGCCCCCATGTGGCAGAGTGGTTTGTGTTCCGAACCTGGCAGCTTGCTTTCTCACTTTCCCTCTGTCTCTCTCTCTCTGGTCAAAACTGAAAAATAATGAGGGGCCGGCAGGTTGGCGTGGTGGTTGAGGGTGCTGGACTCTCACATGGCTGACTGCAGTTTTGAGTCCTGGACCTGGTGGCTTGCTTTCTCACTTTCTCTCTCTCTCCCTCTCTCTATCTCACTCTCACTCTGTCCCTCTGTGGTCAAATTTAAATAAATAAATACATAGAAAAAAGTCATTCTTTTTTTTTTTTTTTTTTTATAATAAATATAATTAAAATAAATTTTTTTTTTTTTTATTCTAAGGAGGTGGAAGTTGACATAAATATGACCTGATTATTTTCTTTGTCAGGTGTGGTCCAATGGTATTGGATGCCTTGATCAAGATTAAGAATGAGATTGACTCTACCTTGACCTTCCGAAGATCATGCAGAGAAGGTAGGCATTTCTTTCCTGGCCTCTGGACCTGTGTTCTGGTTCTCGAGAGGCTTGGACCATCTGATGCAGGCATCCCAGAAAACAGCTGCGGCTCTGCCGGCTGACTTCACTGTGCAGCACGGCTCCTTCTCGTGGGTGAATGTGTCCAGAATTTGAACCCTAGTACAAGTTCTGGTTTCTGAGTTTACTTCTCCTTCTGTCACATGGCACGCTTTCTGTCACATGGTTCCCATGTCTGGTGGTCCCTGTGAGCTGCTGCATGCTTCAGGGCTGAGCTCAGCTATGGTAGCTGACTGCCGTCTGCACTGTTGCTCTCCTCTATTAGGAAAGAGCAGTGGGGGGCCAACAGATGGCATGGTGGTTAAGGCGCTGGACTCCCACACGGCTGATTGTGGTTCAAGTCCCAGACCTGATGGCTTAAAAATCACGTGTGCCTAAAGTCCCTATAGAAGAATGGAGGAGAAGGGATTGCAGCCTGGCCATGCCCCTGGGAGTGATTTCTCACTTTCTCTCTCTCTGGCGAGCATCCATGCCCTATAGCAAAACTTCAAAAAAGAAAGAAAGAGCAATGCAAGGTTTCTTGCTGGCACTTGTGCCCAACAGGAAAAATGTCTGTCCCCTTGGCCTCCCAACATTACAGAGGGACGGTAGGTGTGTTCTCGATGGCTGGAGCACTGTTTCCACACCATGGTTACTTGTGCTGCTAGTGGCACGTGAGCTGATTGTAAAGAGTGTGCAGACCACCGTTCTCTGTTCAGTAGCTGTGCACTTACAATTTTAGGTATTAAAAAATACACACTTTATTAATGGTGGTGTACTAGGGATATAGTTTTGAGAGGTTTTTGCTATAGGGTACTCACCAGAAAGAGACAGAAAGACAGAAAGCAAGAAATCACCGCCCGGGGGGTGGCCATGCCACAATCCCTTCTCCATTCTCCTTTTACGCATGTACAGGTGCCCAGCATGAGTTCTAGAAACCAGGTCCAGGACTCAAACCGCGGTCGACTACATGGGATTCTAGCAACATAGCCATTACGCCAACTGCTGGTTCTGGGTATAAATAATTTTTTAAATGTGAATTTAAGTAAAAACAAATGTACTTAAAGAAAACTTCTTGGGTATGGGGGGCCAGTGGGTGGCGTGGTCATTAGCGGCACTGGACTCCCACCTGGCCAACTGCAGTTCAAGTCCCAAACCTGGCAGCTTGCTTTCTCACTTTCCCTCTTTCTCACTTTGTTCCTCTCTGGTCAAATTTAAAAATATAAATAAATAAAATAATTTTAAAAAGACGAAGGAAACTCCTTGGGTTGACTCCATGGCTTGGTAGTTAAGGCAGCTGGACCTTACATGGCCAACACTGGGTTCAAGTCTCAGCTCCAGCAGCTCAAGAAACACACCAGGTGCCCAAAATCCCAAAAGAAGAGAGAAGAGATTACAGTATTACCATTTCTTATGGGAGGGGGTGCTTTCTTCTCTATCTCTGGCAAGGACATGTGCCCTCTAGCAAAAGCTCTGAAGAATGGCACTGATGGCCGTGGAGCCAGTCCCGATGGCAGGCTCTCCTCACTGGTCTTTACAGAAGCGAGGTAGATAGCGCACAGGGAAGGAGACTGAAGTCTGGGCCTGCGGGACTTCTGAGCAAGGACTCAGAAGGACTAGTGAGCTGGCCAGAGCTGTCGGACTACAGAGCTGCACTCAGGTGTGGGCAGGCGGGGGGAACCCAGGTCAAAACAGAAACAGAGTACCTTGGTTCCCCAAGGGCCTCAGCTGACTTTCTGCTAATATAACCTTCCAAAAGAGAAGAGCCAGTCCAGGCACCGGCACATTGCTTTGACCTTGTTTGCTGTACATTTCAGGTACTTAAAGTCCTGCCTCTAGACATGGATTTGATCCAGCTCATCTTTCTTAGTGCAGCAAAGGCGGACGGATGCCCTGATAGATCCGCCGAGTGCTGGTGCTCGGGGAACATTCTGTAATTACACACAGCCGGCCTAGCCGGTGGCATGGTGGTTAAGGCCTCTGGATCCCATATGGCCAACTGCACAGTTCAAGTCCCAGACCTCGTGGCTCGAGAAGCACACTGGGCAAGTACGCATGTGTGTCTAAAATCCAGAAAGTAGGGAGAAATGGAGGAAAAGGGGTTGAAGCATGGCCATCGCCCATGGGTGGTACTTCATCATTCCCTTCTGTCTTTCTCCCACAAATGCACATGGCCTCTGGCAAATTAAAAAAAAAAAAAAAAAAGAATTCCCACCTAAGAGCTCACAATCCAGGATCCTCCAGTAACCGTACCCTGTAGGACTCTTTCAGAGCCAAGAACATAAGGTGTAGCCCATCTGGAAAATGAAGCACAAGTGTATTAATAGTCACTCTTTCTTTTAACGTTATTAATTATTATTATTATTTTCCAATTTGATCAGAGAGGCAGAGTAAGAGAGGGAAAGTGAAAAAGCAAGCCACCAGGTCTAGGATTAAACCACAGTCAGCCATGTGGGAGTCCAGCACCTCTAACCACCATACCCCTGCCGGCCGCAGTTGTCACTCTTTTTTATTCTCGTTTGTTTATTTTAAAGTTTAATAAATAATAAATACATTTATCTTAATACCTAAGAGAGACACAGAGAGAGAGGGAAAATGAGAAAACACCCCAATGGGGAACAGTCATGCTGCAATCCTTCCTCCATTTCTTCTCCTTTTGGGACTTTGGGCACACACGCCTATGTTTTTCAAGCCTCCGGGTCTGAGTCTTGAACCACATAGTTGGCCATGTGGGATCCAGTTGCTTTAGCCACCATGCCATCCACTGGCTCTATTCTCTTGTTTATTTATTAAGAGAATTCCCAAAGGAGCCCTTTTTTAAAAATTATTTATTTAACTTTGTTTATTCTTTTATTTTTTATTTGACCAGAGAGAGATACACAGAGAGAGAAAGAGGAAGTGAAAAAGCAAGCCACCAAGTCTGGGGCTCAAACTGGGGTCAGCTGTGTGGGAGTGTCCAGCACCTTAACCACAACGCCACCTGCTGGTCCCCCCAAAGGAGCCTTTTTAATGAAATTCATGGGGTTGGGACCAGCAGGTGGTGTGGTGGTTAAGGATGCTGAATTCCCACATGGCTGACCACAGTTCAAGTCCAAGACCTGGCAGCTTGCTTTCTTGCTTTCTCTCTCTTTCGCTTTCTCTTACTGTGTCCCTCTCTCCTCACATTAAAATAAATAAATAAAGTTAAATTAAAAATTTCTTTAAAAAAGAAAAAAAGAAACATAACTATTAAAAAAGAAAAAGATATTCATGGGGTTTATGTTTTACTTTTCATGACTGTTTTTTTCTTTTTTGCTGTAGGGCATGTATGCTTACCAGATGCCAGACAGGGGTGGCAGGGGGAGTGAGAAGTCACAGGCAAGGGGGAGTGGCCACGATGCAGTCTCTTCTTTTGCATTCTCCTCTCAGGATTTTGGGTATGCATGCACACACCCAGTGTATTTTTCTTTTCTTTCTTTTTTTTTTAAGTTTTTTGGAGAGATTTTTGCTGTTAAGGCGCATGCACTTTGGAGACAGAGAGACAGAGAGACAGGGAGTGAGAAATATTCCCTCAGGAAGATGGTCGTGCTGCACTCCCTTCTCTCGAGATCCTGGGCACACACACCCAGCATGAGTTTGAGGCCACCGGGTCCAGGACTTAAACCACGGTCAGCCATGTCAGATTCAAGCAGTGTACCCATTAGGCCCTCTGCTGGTCCCACACCCAATGTGTTTTTCAAGCCGCCGGGTCCAGGACTTTAACCATTCAGTCAGCCATGTAGAATCCAGCACCTTAACCTCCACACTATGTGCTGGCCCCAATGACATTTCTTATAAAAGCAAACTGCTCTGTTTGGATGTCAGGTGTACAATATTCAGTCCTCTAAGGAACTTTGGGACCATTTGCTTAAGGTAGATCTTTTTTTGTTGTCAAGATTCATGTGAGAGGCCTCAGTGGCACTTGCTACTAAGGCATTGCAGCTTGAAGGCTAAGGTCACATAGGAGGCCTGGGTTCAGTTCCCAGCTCAGCCTAAGCAGGTTGGGCACAGTGGCGTGCCCCTGTAGTCCTAGCTAGCTGGGAGGCTGGAGCAGGGGGATCCTGACATGGTAAGACCCTTTCAGAAGTCATTCGGGCATCCTGACAGGGTCTTCACAACGCCGTCCACCCCAGGCTCAGCAGCCTGGGTCACGAGCACATGTCCACACCTGGCATGCTGAGAGAGGTCCCAGGACACAAACCCAGGACCTTGTCCATATGAATCCAGTTGTGTTACCACTGTGCCACCACCTGGCCCTGTGTGGCCAGTCACTTTTAAACTCTGAAAGGAAATTTTCATACATAAGAAATAAATCGAGGCTAAGAAAATTCTAGTTTTAAGGTCCTTGGTCAGCACCATATTTTGGCCTGGTTTTTGCTTTGCTTTGGTCTCACTTTAGTTCATTCTCCTTGGAAGGTCATGCTCAGTTATCTGTGTGGGTTTCCTTGCCCCACAGAGCCACTGTGCTGCTAAGTTGGGTTTTTTCCCTTTATTTATTTATTTTTTTATTTACAGTCATTCACTGTACATCAAAATGAAATTTTCCAGAATACATTGTATATTGGCTTAATCAAACATATTAGCAACAACAAATAATTTTCTTTTTTTTCTTTTTTTTCTTTTTTTTTGAGAGGTTTTTGCTATAGGGCGCGTGCGCTCGCCAGACAGACAGAGAGACAGAGAAACAGAAAGCGAGAAATCACCCCCCAGGGGGGATGGCCACGCCGCAATCCCTTCTCCATTCTCCTCGTAGGACTTGGACATGCATGCACACATGCCTGGCATGAGTTTAAGCCACCGGGTCCAGGACTTGAACCGTGGTCAACTACATGGAAGTCCAGTGAACTGCTGGTCCTAACAAATAATTTTCTATTTCTTGTTTCTTTTATATATTTTTCTTCCCCCTCCCCAATTCCCTACCTCTCACCGTCTGCCAGTTTCCCTCCTTCTCTCACACTGTCCCTGGTATGTACAGTTGTCTTCATGCCTTTCTTTTTTTTTCACATTTTATTGATTCACTTAGGATCTTAATTAATTAAAAAACTTTCCATAGCAAGCACAGCTAATATATACGTATCTTTGAACACGTCTGACTATAGGCATAAACCTCAGTGAGTAAATTGGGCATGCTTACTACAGTCATTCAACAGTATTAATAGGTATTTTTTTTAATGCACTTTTTTATTTCAAGAAAAACAGTTTTACTTTTAATAGATTAGAATCAAAAACTGTTCAGAGAAATTTGCTTAAAACTTAAAGCCTGAAGGTCAGGCTTCAGTCCATATCATTGGTCGATGAAGGTGCTGCTGGATGTGCAACCCCCAGAACAAAGGCTGTCGCTCTCTCTCTCTCTCTCTCTCTCTCTTTTTTTTT